GTAGTTGAAGAGGAAATGGCCATTCCGGGTTCTGTTGATTCAGAGGAAAGTAATAAACACCATAGAATATACTGGTTTTCGTGCCCAATGAGCCTTTTCAATCTTATTGAGACATCTAGGGAAACAGCCTTTCTAACAGCCGTGTTTTCTGTCCAAGATGATGAATGAGACAGAAAGGTGCAAATAGATCAACATCTAAGATACATGCCAAAGGCATAGTGTTTGTTAGCATCTATAGATAATATCCTTGTACTCTAAATTGTACAATAATTAGACCACTACCACTATACTTTTTGCACCTCCTTTTATTCCATAGTAAGATTGCTTGAAGACAAATGAAATGCTTGCCTAAGTAGCTGGCTTGTTAAATTAATTTCTGCTCCTTATTATGAAATACACATAGAACCGTGCAGTGGCCTAGAGGTGAAAACATTCACCTTCCACTTAGAAGGTTGAGAGTTCAATCCTAGGCAGTGACAGATGTTTCTCTAACAGGGTGCAAAGGGAAAATATCTGCTGCGAACTCCGCAATAGGCGTCAGGAAGAGCACGCGGCCAGTAAATGCTCAGCTCCATTCAGTCACCCCAATTCCACCTCAGTGAAAAGGTATTTCATGGATTTGAAAAGAAAAAAAATATATGAAAATATAAATGACCTAAGCAAATCATGACAGATTTAGCTGGTACAATAGCCCTTTTCTATTTAGTGATTTCAAGCCATGACCCATCATATATGTGAAATTAGGTTTGCTTTAAAAAAAAGAAAAAAACTGTGTAAAGTGATACACACTTTTTAGCATTCTATTGCATTTTCTCCTGTTGTGCCCATTCCTTGAATTACAGAATTCCTTACGTAGAATTTACTTGCCATCCCTTTTATTTTAAGTATGCACGAGAAGCCACTTTACTGCTCCATTCCTACGTCTGTGTCATTTAGGAATAAATAAAAAGCACCGATCTCAGCGCTGCACAATTTGCAGACTCCATTACAAAACAGACTTTTTGTGAAGTTATAATTAAGCTCGGATATCATCTAAAAGTGAAAGTAAACAAATTCATCACCATATTTTCATTGGGAATAACAATTTTAAATATTAATAACAATTTAACACTATGGGTAAATCCAAGCTGTCACACTTATAATTGGAAGTGGAGAGTAAAGCTTACTTTTTTTTTGAGGGGGGTGAAATTTCAAAAGCTCTGACGGCAAGACAGACAGCCATATGTGTGAGATGCTTTAATTTGGATTTCTGCATTGTGTAGGAGGCTGGTCTTGATGGCCATCTTAAATGACAACTTCCAGCTTGGCAATTCCACGAGTACCAACCTAAGTGCTTGGGAAAGTTGATAATCTAATGCCCAAATAATTTGGAGAAGAGGAAACATCACTATATTTCTCCTTCTCATTTAAAGCATATCAATAATTATTTCTATGTTTCCCAGTCTTCCTGTCTCAAACTTCATCCTATGTATTAGTTAGTAAGCCTACATATTTGTCGCTTTCTCTGTTCATTCCCATTTTTTCCATTTCCTCTTCCCTTTATTTCAGTTGTGAAAAGCTTGGGAGCCAGTGGTGGTATTCAAATTTTTTTTACTACCGGTTCTGTGGGCGTGGCTTGGTGTGGCTTGGTGGGTGTGGCGTGGCTTTGGTGAGCATGGTAGGGGAAGGATACTGTAAAATCCCCATTTCTTCCCCACCCCACTAACCTGCTTTCCAGTTTTGTTCTCATATGCAGGGCAACAAAAGAAGACCCAGCCGACCAGCTAGGACTCGGGAGGCAGTGAATAGATGGGGGCGGGGCCAACCAGAGGTGATATTTACCGATTCTCCAAACTACAGGTTCTCCAGAACCTGTCAGAACTGGCTGAACATCACCTCTGGAGATAGCTGGGTGTCAACTGTTTGTACAAGGAGGTAATAAAGGCTTAGGATAAACCCTGCCAAATAACTAGGCAGTGAAACATCCCAAGCTTATCATCTAGGTGAGGATTACCTTTGCTATTAAATGGGTTTACACATTCTTCAGGGTATTAGTTTTTGTGAATCAAGTGGATAAGAGCAGTGGGATTCAAATAATTTAACAATCGGTTCTCTGCCCTAATGATTTCTTCCTACAACCAGTTCACCAAACTGCTCAGAAAGTTAATAACCAGTTCTTCCGAACTGCTGCGAACTGGCTGAATCCCACCACTGGATAAGAGGCAGGTAAATAAATTTAGAATAGAATTAAAGAGAAGGATTTGGGGTGCCCATTGGTTGTTCTGTGGCTAGGTGAATACATGGGTGGGAATGAAACAAAATAACTCAGAAAAGGTGATTGGGCCATTTGGAAAGAATGGGAATGGTTTGTTTGTTTCAAATACACTTTTTAAAACTTTGAAAAAGAATGAATACAAATGTAAACAAAGTGTGGTGGATTAGCTTGCTTTATGAAAAAAGTTTAACAATATGAATGAAGAATAGTGAATAGTGATTCTGAATTCGGAACAGAAAATTTATTTGTAATGTCACAAATATATCTGGGGGGGAAATAAACAAAGAAGGAAAAAAGTAATTGGAAGTAGAATGACTGCAAGAAAAGAAAATATGAATCATGTAGGAAAATATGAATCAAAATGAAATGATAGTGAGCATAATAAATAGAAATTAGGTATACTAGAGAGGATGTGAAAGTTACTTTGGAAAGAGTAAAAATAATTATGTTACAACATGCCTCTGAAATGGGTTGACTGCGTAAAAAACCCGGGTTGATCAAATGAAGAAGTAAAGGAACATATGGATGAGAAACATGCATGTAAAAAGATGATATAAAAATTCTAGCATGTAAATTGTTGAGAAGAGAACTGATCATGATTCTGAGAGCAGAATAAAGATGTAATACAGTGGCCCCCAACCTTTTTTGTACCACGGCCCGGTACCGGCATCACAAAATGATCCATGGACCGGTACCGGCATCAGCACACTTGACCAAGGCAAGGCGAGCCGAGCGACCGGCCAGCCAGCCGTCCCCCGCTTCTCCCTGCCACCTTCAACTCCTCCTTTGTACCTTCTCGTGGTCGATGGGCTTTTTGGGCTCTTTCTTAATCTCCTCCTGAGTAATGCGAGACTCCACTGCCATCGGGATGGCTCTTCGTTCGAAGCCACCCCTCCCTCTTCGACGAAACTAAGGAGCGAGGATTCCTTCAGCACCCAAACGCCGCTTTCCATCCAACCAACGACCAACAAGCTCACGCGGAAGCACTTTCTCAAGCGCCGTCGAAACAAGATGGCGGCGCCCAAGCAAAGTAGGCGGCCCGGTACAAAATGATCCACGGACCGGTACCTGTCCGGGGCCCGGTGGTTGGGGACCCCTGATGTAATATACTGTTCTATAATATTCTAGACACACACTATGTGCCCAGAAGTTAAAATAGCTGCAAACGGTGTAATTGAAGAGGGGACAGGCGTTGGAGGAGAGAGAGAATGAATATAGAATGATTTGGGTGGAAATAAAACTTATTTTGGAATTGGATAAATAACTGTAAAGAAGATTAGAATATATAGCGAACTGAATTGGATAAATAACTGTAAAGAAGAAAATTAGAATATATAGCGAACTGAATCTGTGTGCAAAGATGATGGAAAAGACTCAAAGGTTGTAAGAATGTTGGAAAATTGTAAGGCTGCAGTTATAAAAAGTGTAAGTAGAGAAATGTAACAGTTGTTTATGAAGAAGCTGTGGAACTTGTTTAATGTTAAGGTTTAAGGTTATATCCGTGTCTGTGAATTAAAAGAATACTGGTATTGTTCCTCTACCAAAAGAAAAATATGGTAAAACTAAATGCCAAAACTTGACCCAAAGGCTGTGAGAAGTGGCAATCAGCACAATTTGGCATATGCAGTGCACCTGGATTTTTCAGCCTTTTTTCATAAAGGATTATTAGAAATACAGAAGTTTGCATACTATTTTATAAGCTATTAATTGGTCTACAATAATGAAGGTGCAGCCTAATATAATTTCTGGATTTTTTGGCAATATGACTGCTTTTGGTTTCCATGTAATCTGGGAGAAACAATGAACAAGCCTACATTGTAGTTCAGTTAAAGATTAAAATGTGTGCAGAACAATTCATCTAGCAAAAAAAATTTTTTAGGTGTTTACAAAGGTACATATGCCTTTGGACTATTAATGGTCCACTCCTAAGATCAGCAGACAATGTAAACTTTTCTTGTATGCATTTGACTTTTGATATGCACCCTGTTAAATTGGACAGCAATCCTAAAAGTGAAAAGGAAAAGACATGTGTCATTTTCCTACAGCTTTAAAGGGAAGGATTGATTAATGGGGTCTCTTCAACTTTACTGAACAATGAGAGCCTTGATTTTGTGCTTTTTCAAAGAAAAAAAAAAGAATTACGTACTAAGAGCTCCAGCTGTTTTTTTCACTTATAGTCAAAAAGTCCATAATAAAAAGTATGCCGCCTTAGAAAATGTTTGACTGTGGGAAAAGAGCAGATAGCGCTATGCATTTATTTCCATATACAGCATTGGCTGGAAGAATTCCATGCATATACAATGAGTCAGAGAACGAACAAAAAGAATGCACAATAAGATACTGGATAACTAATTAATTTTCCCAAGAATGTCAAGATTAGTGCTTGGGATAGCCTACTAGTTATGGTTGACCATCAATCAGTGTTTGAGTGCTAAACGCAGTAAGACTGAATTATGATTTAGAATTTACACACATTTGTATATGATAAAATCTTGGCTGCCTCTTTTAAGGAATGAGCAGTTAGCAACAGAATTAAATGCCACAAAACTTCAAAGGGAAACCAATGTGTTTCCTCTTCCTGTCACCCCCCTCCCCTTTTCCTGCATATGGCCAATTTTTAGTCATATGATGTATGTATCGCAAAAGTATGAAGTTGCTTCCTGCATTGTATTTTCAGTATTCTTGTTCATCTTAGCTTTAGCAGCTGATCTTTGCACCAGTAATTGTACATTTGTGTATATTTCAGAGTAATGACTCTTTACTAAAGGACCTTTACAAGCAAGATCTCTACTGGGGAAAAAAAAAGAACTGATCCAATTTACCATATAATGGGCACCTCGAACGAAGAAATGGTCTCCACGGAACAAAACCTGAACCCACTCTGCTTTGAATGTGGCCAGCAGCATTGGACAAGAGAGAACCACTTGTACAATTATCAAAATGAGGTGGACGATGATTTGGTTTGCCATATTTGCCTTCAACCCTTGCTACAGCCATTAGACACGCCTTGTGGTCACACATTCTGCTATAAGTGCCTACGAAACTTTTTGCAAGAGAAGGACTTCTGTCCCTTAGACCGCAAAAGGCTGCATTTTAAACTGTGCAAAAAATCTAGCATCCTTGTTCACAAACTGCTTGACAAGCTCTTGGTGCTGTGTCCCTTTTCTTCAGTATGCGAAGAGGTAATGCAGAGATGTGATCTGGAAGCACACCTGAAAAACAGGTAAATAGTGAGACGATGGGCCTAATTGACTTTATTATTATAATTATCCTCTACGTTGCCTGCCTGCCTGCCTTCATATATTTTGTTTCTTTCCCATTCTATCTCCTTTTGGAATGTTATTTAAAAGGTAGCAACAGATCAGCCTTGTGCTTCTTAATTTCACTTAAACAAATTTCACTTAAACAAAGTGAAAGGAGAAAGAAACTATCTCTGGGACTGTTGATATTTTACAACCCTATGTATGCATTCTGTTTGGGTGAAAAATCATGTGATAAATAAGACTCTTTCTCCCTTCTGATTTTCTGAAATGTAGACACAATTGCAAAACTACATTAGAGAAAAGATTCTCTAACGTAGAATTGTCCTTTCAAAATGTGGGCAGCAGGGAGAATAATTGAGCTAGACTACTTGGATTTGCTCTCCTATTAAACAACCAATGGAGCACATCAATTAATTAAATCACTCTCAATTTTCTTTTTCTTTTGACCCTTTCCTGTCAAAAATAAATAAAATCTTACTTTTCTAGAGTAAAAATCAGTGATCGTTATCATACTCTGGATTGCAAAATAACAAATAGAAGGTGTTATCAAAGCTATGCACCTGAGGATGCCCACACAAAGAGAGATCTCTACTCTACAAGCTGTTTGTAGGTCATGAAAAGAATTCCCATGGGGCCCAAGGGATGATTAAAGACAATGTGAAATATGGAAAAGGCATTTGGGAGATCAGGAAAAATTGAATAATTGCTAGTAGCTGCTTGCAGCTACTACTACTACAGTGTACCATCTACCTAATCAAACTGCTATCCAGTATTAATTGTCTTCTTCCTAGAAAACTTTGTTTCCTAACTTTTTGCTCTTCGTTGCCTCCCGGTTCAACTTAGTACATAATTGTGGCAGAAAAAAATGGAGGAACTGATGCTGTGCTTGAAAGTTTGAATTCTCCAAAGAAAGGCAGAGTTATAAATATAACAGATAAAACAGGTAGACATTCTGCTTCACAAGTTAGTCGAGTATCGACTGTGACTTTAACATCTTTACTTCTGGATGAGGTGCAGTACCCCAGACAGACCTGGTCCACAACTTGGGGTTCTCATGACCCCCTGCTCAAAAAGCAGCTGGCAGTGACAGCCTTTGCACAACTTCAAGTTGCAGCATTTCCTGGGTCAGGACTTCCTGATCCTCCCAAGTCACTCAAATCCTAATCATTTCAGATCCGGATTATTGCAATGCACTCTACCTTTGAAAAACATTTGGAAGCAATAGCTGGCACAGAATGCAGCAGCGCAAGCAATTCTTAGTGCTCCTAAACTGGCCCATGTTATACATACCATTGCTTTGCAAGCTGCACTGATTGCTGGTCTGCTTCCAGGTGCAATTCAAGTTTTTGGCATCACCTTTAAAGCCCTGTGTGGCATGACACCAATCCAGTGGTGGGATTCAATTTTTTTTTTTTACTACTGGTTCTGTGGGAGTGGCTTGCTGGACATGGCTTGGTGGACATGGCAGGGGAAGGATACTGTAAAATCTCCATTCCCTCTGCACTCCTGGGGGAAAGTCACTGCAAAATCCCCATTCTCTCCCCACCCCGCTAATTCTCATAAATGATAAATCGATTATATGATTCCAGCCTTGAGGAACAATCCCCAACTAAGGGATTGAGGAGGGGTTTGGACTAGAAGACCTCCAAGGTCCCTTCCAACTCTGTTATTCTGTTCTGTTCTGATTGATAGCCCATTGGAGGTCCCCACTGAACACTGATGGAGTTTAATGATGTGATGTATTAAGATCACAGATATTCATAGAGTGAAACCTTTGGGTGTCAAGACAGCCAACCGTATCCACAGAAAAGTGCAATTGTTGTTTGCTACCCGTCTCACCAATTCAACTTTGGGCAGCTAAAGGAATTTCAGCACAATATAAGTACAATGTATATTAAATAAATAAATACTGTTCCAAAGATTCCCAAGCACATCATTCACTAACAGCATAGACTTGATTCCTCTCCTGACCCCTGTGCCTGGAAAAACACTCCGGTCTTAAAGGTAAGCAGAGTCGGGACCAGCTGAACCTCAGGTGGTATGGTGTTTCAGAGGGCAGGTGCAGCTAGAGGAAAGGCATGGTTTTTGGTCCTTTAAATCCCTTAATGCATCATAAAGTCTGGACTATGTCCTCTCCTGACCAACCTAAATGAGACGGGTAGAAGTTATGCTGAAATAGTGACATGTGCATTATGATGTCGTTGAACAAATGCCACCATTATGTGGTTTTGTTCTGACATCTGATGCAAAATATAGGTGTGGGCATTTGTGTGATGATGCCACAAATGTCGTTTTGCTCTGGTTGCGGGCAGCTATGAAGTCAGCTAAGTATGTTTTGATTGCTTTCAAGCTTCATTTCTTGGGAGTATGAGGCAGAAGATTTCTTCTTTTGTTATATGTGTTAGTTCCCTCACTTACAGAACATGAAAATAAAACAAAGTCTGCAGCTGGTTGGAGTAGTCAAAAACATGTACATATAATCCTCTCCCCTCCCCTCCCCAGCCCTCCCCTCCCCTATTCTATGCCTGCTGTACCGGAATTCCTATGAGGGTTA